GTTAATTCCAGGTACCTTTGCGTATGCTGATGACAGCACAGTTGTAGATAGGTACTTGACCAATGCAAGGGTCAGTGGAGAGGAAATCCAGTCTTATCGAGAGTCCATGGTTAGTCGTTTAGATTTGACACTCCAGGCAGTCTCCGATTGGGGCCATGCCAATCTTGTCAAATTTATCGCTACCAAAATGCAGAACAAACCGAAAATCGTGATATATCCATACCGATACCTGACTGTCTCCAGCTACTTGGAATGGACCTGTCATCCAATTTGAACTTCGGCAGATACATTGAATCCATGGCCAAAAATGCAGCAAGGAAGCTTGGGATCCTTTCCAGGGTGGGGCGTTACTTTACACCGGGACAGTTGCTTCAGCTGTACGAAGCACAAGTCCGGTCGTGCATGGAGTACTACTGCCAGCTTTGAGATGGCTCTGCTACATATCAACTGACCACTTTTGATTCAGTTGACAACTGTGACAAGAGGCCTTTAGGTGACTTAGAATTAGTGGAGGCGAAGCTGCAGAGTCTTGAACACCACCGTATAGTTACCTGCTTATCGGTATTTTACAGGATACATCACGGAGAGAGTTGCGATGGAATTACACAATTTAATTCCGCCTTCCCCTTTCCGTCACCGGGTGACTAGGCGTAGGCTTGGGTTCCACGCCTATGTTGTGGATAATCCAAAGATTCGCACGAAGCGTTACGCTTCCACATTTATATGGCGAACGGCTATGGAGTGGAATTCCCTGCCTGCAGACTTGTTCCCTGAACGTTGTAACTTGGGTGTTTTCAAGGCGAGGGTGAATAGGCATTATTTAGGTGTACATGCTCCATCGTTGACCTCATCGTCACTCTCCTACAGGTGAGATGGAGGTCAAATGCGCAAATATTTAAAAAAAAACGATTTGTGCGTCCCCCTATTAAGGTACAGGTAATAAATACACCTTATGCTCTTATCTTATCTAACTATAGTGCATGTTTATATATTTTTTCTATATCAATTTACGTAAACTACTTTCTGTTTTCTCCGTTTCTTTTCGCTGGTCCACGTAATGGCGTATTTATCTACGCCAGTTTCCTATTTTGTTTATTCATACGTTTTGCTTTTCCATCTTCTGTTTTTTAGAACCTTTTTCGCGACTTGGTTATGAAGTTCTTTCATAATTATAGGTGTCAGGTGGGGCTACTATTAATCTTCATCTATCATTTTTTTCCTGAATTCAAACACTTTTATTCTTTCCACTTGTTTTGTAGATTTAACATTTACAAAGACATTTTTGACATAGATTTGACATGTTATATTTTCTAGTTAAACAATTTGTCAATTTTACATGTACAGCCAAGAGCAGATTAAGTGTGACACTCATGACTTAGGCATAGAGTTGTATTTAACTCTTAGAGCAGTTACAAACGGCCACTTTTAGCAGAGATGCAAGCGCGATGCAAGCGTGTCGCTTGCATTTTTACCACCATTGTTACCACCAGGCGCACGACTTGTCTCATAACAAACACATTTTAAAACAAAAAAATGTGATTATTGTGTATAGATAGTTATAATGTAAGATGATTGATATTGCTTAATAACTGGAATAGTATGTATTTTCGTTTTAATTTTGTAAAAGGACTAAATAATACTGGATTAAAGCATTGTTTGTAAAATATTTGTAATTAGCAATGGGAGTGCTTTTTTGAAATTTTGTTTTCATTTTAAAGTTATAAAGATGTAAAAGATATAAAGATATTTTTGTTCTGTTCACTGTTGGAAATAAATAATAAATGATTCACAGTAATATTGTAGCCTTTTTATGAAATAATCAAATAAACACAAGAACTAAATACCTGTCCATGAAACGGAAAAAACGATAAATCCATTTCCTCTGTTATTTGCAGTAAATTCAACCTCAGGTGATATATTTAACTATATACGCGCTTGCTTTACGCCCAAAAACCGCATTAAGTTTATGTGAGACTGTTACTTACACTATAAATCGTTATATTATTATTTTTTACAGTGTGTGGTGTTCAATGTTAGTTTTACAGCAGTATGAAAGACTCTAACTTCTAAAATACAGGTTTGTTCGTAATAGTAACATAATTATGCTATAGAATTAGGAATTGTTAGATTTTTCTTAAAAACATCAGTTATGTGTTAACAAAAAGTTATAACAGCTTTTCCGAAAAAGAAAACATTTTTTGGCTGTCCAAGTTGCGTTTGTCCTTTACGCCATTCGAACCTGAAGGTGTCGAATGTATTTTCGTGTTCTTCGTGGTGGTGTTATATAATTTAAATTTCTTTTGTCCTAGTCGTATTCACTTATAAAAGTTTATTTTGGTTTCTTTTGACCTTATTGGTTAATTTTAACATTAAACATTTAACACATTTAATTTTTGGACAATGCTATGATTTTTTAATCACCTACCTACCTACCCTTCGTTTTTGTTCTTACTTTATCCACTATGTTTCAATCTGCATTTATTCTTGATTCTTATTATATTTTTATGCTCTACGTAGTTTGCAGTTATCCAATTGTAAACATATGTGTACGCGAAAATTGTTTTATCGGTTATCTGCTGCACCAGCTGTAGTAAAAAATATAATTATTAAATATATATTTTACTTTTATTTTGATCTTCAGAGGAGTAGCGAGTTGTGACTTGACTGTTAATGTTGATTTGTGAATTTTTTTTGGAAATCTGAAGATTAACATTTTGGTCGAGCATTTGGTTTATAACAAAATATTACAATGTATTTCAAGAAGGCTTAACAATGTCTAGATAATTTTCTTTTTCTTCTTCTGGGATGCACGAAAGGAGCCTCCTCGCAATAACGTACAAATCGTATTCCTAGTACGTTTGGTGCATCTTGGACAACGATAGGCGAGTACCTTACATACGCCGACTAAAATTCTTTCACCACGATGGCAAACATCCCATGCACAGTTCAGCATGGCGGCTACTTATGGCGTGATCAACGTAGCTAAGTTCTTGGCCGCGATATTATAGTGAATGCCATTGACATCATAAAGAGAAGAAGAACCTAGATAGTATTTTTTTCTCTTGAATCTCGTAGTTTTTCCCATGTTTCAAGAATGTATTACAAAATCATGGAGTATAATTTACTTCTAAACGACTAACTCATTATTTGACTGCGGTGAAATCAGGTCATATTCAGCACAAAAGAGTATGAAATGTGAACAGTCATACAACCAATACAAATGTTTACATAAAATGTATATTGGATATCTATTAGCATTTTTCCGGTCACTCGTTGGCCGGAATGGTTTTTGGAGAACGCGTGGCCATCATTTTTTAAATCAAGTTACGTAACACAGACGAAAGTGTACAGTGTACGTTATGCCTTTATGTTACGCCTACTAGCCACGAAAGTGAGTTAATCGTATTCTTAGTTCTCGCTGAATTACAGTTATAATAATTACTGTGATTTAAAAGTTACGTAATTTATTACGAGTTTATTGCACTGGTTTTTATGCATCCATGCACTTCCTTCCACTTCTGAATTCAAAGTGTTGATGCTTATGTCGAGTTTATGGAAGTCGTAGTCGTGATATGACTCTATTATTTCACACGTTGCTTTAATATGCGTCGAGGTGTCTATTAGAACGTAATAAAGGTTTTTCGATGAATTTATCGAAGTATTACGTATAAATAATGAGTGTTCTTAAATGGTCTTCAAATTAAATTGTTATTGTTCAGTTACGCAATAACTCTCGGCTCCCCTTTTATATAAAAGGGGAGCCGGTGGCATATCGCTTCCTGGTCGCAAACGCTGAAAAGGCATGATTCCATGGAGCATGTCCAACACAAGTGTGCGACGCCATGTACGTACATTGGTGCCGTCTCTCTTCCAAAACACCAGTGGTAAGAGGTTCTGCAGCAGAGCTTGGCGATAGATTTATAAAGCCGAAAAAACCAGGTCCTCGGTCTTGATTACTTAGTAACTACCCTTCAAAGTTTTTTTTTCTATAAAATTATATCTAATAATAGTTCAATTTAGATGTCCAGGGCTACCTTCCATAACTTATAATTTATACTTATCAGTGGGCTCCCTGGGCGGGAACCTGATTTCGTACATTTTTAATGTAGTTCTAAACCTATTATTTATCAATGCGTGCGTGCACACGCATCATAAGTGTTTAGGGATCAAGATATTTTTCTAAAATATTTGTTTACTATATTAAACTTAAATAAAAATATCTATGTAAATTTATGAAATCATTTATATTTAGTTATTTATTATTAAAATTATGAAATTGAACAAAAAAAACCATTGGTGCTAAAATATTATAATAAAGAAGTCTGATTTTCAGTGTAATTGTAATCTGTAGACACTTGATGTGTACATGTACGTATATTATTAGCGTCTTGTTATGTTATAATAGGTATTGAATTACTAAGTTAACGCTCAATTTACATTGCTGCGAAACGGAATGGAAGCGAATTCTTGTAACGAAATTTATGTAGCATAATTTACTTTATGTGAATCGTGTAACGTTTTAATTAGTGTCGACGCGAAAGCTGCCGGAAATCCCGAGACTGCGCGTGAATTCTCTGGAAGAAGGGCAATATTTTTTTTGGCTCGTATATAGTTTGTATGTTACACAATTGACATAAAGTTAGTTACGCTATGATTACAGAAATTCGCTTGTATTCCGCGTTCCGAGGTTGAAATTTAAAACTTAATGTTGCAGTACTATTATGAAGTTTAAAACAATAAAATATCCCCTTTTACCCGTACATAACCAAGTTGCATTACCAGCACTGGGAGAGGAAAAAATATTCCTGCTACAAACCATCATGAGTACGATTACAAGTAGGTTATAATATAATAAATTCACTGAATTAGGTACATAATATTAAGGATAATTACAATATATCGGAAATAAAAATATATATGATATAAATATATTTTTGTTTTCGAATATAGTGTATAATATTTTTATAAATATGTAAAATAAAATCTTTCCTTTGTTTCAGTAAACAATGACGATCGACAAGCAGCTAGTATGGGTGCGGGACCCAAACGAGGGCTTCGTGTTGGCTCGTATACTAGAGCTAATGGGCGAAGAGGTTGACGTCATCCCCGTAGACAATAAAAACCCTCGTCGCGTATGCAGCTTCGACGATGTATTCCCTGCTGGGGATCCCACAAAGGTCGTCGATGATAATTGTAAGTATTGGCTGTTATCGATTAGCTCTTTACCTCGAGTGAGTGGTAATAACAGAAACACTGAATAATTACGTATTTCCAGATCAAGTGTTTTTTTAGTACAGAATAATACGGTGTTATCTTGGTGGGAGAACGTTTGTTTCCCAGTTAAGGTTGATGGTTCGAGTTCCTGTAGCGACATGCACCAGTTAACGTAAATGTTTAGTAGCAACCCATACTTTGCCCCAGATACGCTCTTTTGGCAGATCCTCTCCCATTCTTTCAGCATACCCTAGCCAACGTAATCTGGCGGATTTTATCTCCCCGATTGAACGGTTTACTTACAAAATTATTTTTATGCTGAGCTTGCGCTTTCGGCGCATCGTACTTATTCAGCTTAGGGCGCGTTCCCTTTATGTCGTGACTACAGATAGTCGTGCAGTTTAAAGTGTCGTGGTTTGTATATTTAAATGAAGTTGTTCACACATAGAACAACACGATTAAATGTTGTTCGCGATTTTTTGACGTTACGACGACAGATTGTCGTGACAGCGGGAAGAGCTAGAACAATTGTCATCTGACGATAAATAAAACGTCACGATAAAAATGTGACGACAGATAATCTCTGCTTCAACCGATTCTGTCGTGTAAACGACAAGGCGGCTGCCGTGAACTGACAAATGGTCGTCGCGATGTGGTAGGAATAGCTAGGCACGATATTCGTTAACGATAAAATAAACGTCGATGACACAGTCACGACAGATAGTCGTGATACGGGAACAGGTTAAACGCGTCAGTCGTCCAACGATAAATAAAATGTTAAGACATAATGGGAATGCGCCTTTCAGTTGACGATATTACGCAGTCGCGATTGGTCACATTATCATCCATTATAACTTGTGTTCCTGAGCTTTCCATAAACCTTCACATTTAAATTTTCTACGCTCGTGTTTGTGTGTCAATTCTCCCCAACTAACTACAACTTTCAACTAACCTAACTACAATCAAGATTACTGCATTAGGTTCCTTTACCACTTTCCATTTAACATCAACTGGAGTGGGGTCTTCTGCCTATCACATATATTTAACAAGACTAGTGACTAACTCGTTATTGACATCAATAATTGTAAATCTGTACCAATTAACAATCGATCGATACGTTTCTTGTATTAGTAAATAGACTAGGCTTTGAAGAAGGTGACTAACAGAAAAAAACAGACATAAGTACCTTTAATAAGGAAGTATGTTCTTATAGGTACTTAGTTGATGCTTGAAAAAGGTGGTTCGACGCCTTGTTAGCTAAAATTTTATGAATGTGAAATGATTTGCTACATATTGTTTACAGAAATTTTTGGTAGGGCTTGTACTGAATACCGAGGCTCCAATTTTCTTGAAACCTCTGGTCATTGTAATTCTATTGAGACTCCACTGAGATTACTATTATTGCAAAATTATGGTAATATTTGTTATTCTGCTAAAATCGAGTTGCACTGGCAATTGAGTGTCAACGGATTTGCCTTTGCTATGACAATGATGACATTGATTCATACAATCGCTAACGATCAATGTTGTCTTAGTAAAACTATCATATTACTATGTCTATAATATCTTCATTTTCATCTCGTTTAACTAACTATTTAATCTTCACATTAAATGTTTTTCTTTATGTCACATAACTAACTACGCCAACGACGTGCACTCTCGCTATAAGAGAATACCAAAAAATGCAATGGCATCTTGGATAGTCTTAACTTTTTGCATACTACCAAACGTACAAAATCCTGCCATTGACACTGTACCGTCCCATATCTAAGATCATTTAAAATTAGCGGAAATGGGACCCTGTTCATAGATATATAATAAAGATACTGAACATAAACGGCACTGGCTTTCTGGAATAAACCCTGGTGGGGACGGGGGACGGGGGACGGGGGGGGGGGACTTACAACCCTAATACGAGCCTCCATTATGGTGTTAGAGGGGACATAAGATTGGGAATAGGGTATTAAGGAAATTACCCGAAAACTGTTACGCTCTTTGCTAAAAGATTACTACTTCCTTCGATGTCATTTCCTAAAGCCGAAATGTATGTATTTGCGGGTTTGTTTACTGTACACATAATAATCTATAAGGTTTCATATGTTACATATTTTTGTAATGCTGAGTATTTATTCGCTGAAATAAAGAATAAATACAGAAATAAATAATAATTAGATATATTACTTTTCTTGGAGCAGAAGATTGAAGGCTGTAAAGTCTCTAACCCGCATTGCTAGCGTGGTTGATTATGTTCTAAACTTTTCGTTAGACTCTTCTTAAGAGTCTTTGTGATCTTTGTGCCACTGCACACCAGTTGACAGTGTTGACGATAAAATATTTCAGGTCTTATTGTCTTTGCAATAAAGTAAAACTCAAACAAGCTATGCAACATTCCGACTAATGTACAGTGATAAACTTTTTCAATTTTCAGGTGAACTAATGTTTCTAAACGAGGCTACATTACTAAACAATATACTTACGCTGTACAAGAAGAAAAAGATTTATGTAAGTTATCAATTTACGTATACGTTTATGGTAGTTGTTACGACATACCTTAAAGCCGCTAAAAACTAAGATATTACAAAACGCATTGTGCTATAAGAAATAATAATTCAGCACTGGAGACGCTGAATATTAAATACACTAGTATTATGTATGACTCATACATTGAATTTTGTAGGCGAAGTTTTCACCTTGAAAAAAATGAAATATGTACTACAACTACAATACGTATACGCGTGCAGGTAGTATGTATGGAATAATTTTACAGTGATGAAAAACGTGTAATCTAACGTATGTTCTATTGACAATGCTAATCTATTTAACAATATATCTTTTACAAAATAATAAATATCTTTATTATAAAAACTACACTTTTTCATCATTGAATATAAAAAATATATTAATAAATATCAAACTTCGTTATCTAAAATCAGACGCAAGGACATTTACAAATAATGACCTAATTTGAATGTCCAGATTCTAACGGTATTTTTTTATTTATGTGAAAAATAATGAAAAGTACGTATGCACATTTAAATAGTTCGCGTTATTTAGCTGCGATAGCCCATTGGAGGAACCTACGATTCTCAATTTAGAATTGGATTGTTTGGGTCTTGTACCCCACTACCCATAATTAATTTCCAGTTACGTCCATTTCTGAGTATTTATTAGTTATTCTTCTCGTTGACCGTGAACGAAAACGTGCTAAAACGAGCTTGTTCAAGAAGTTTACAACCCTTGGAAAACTAGAAATGCCTGCATTTTGGCAGCAGACTAGCCTAAACTTCTGTTTAAAGTAGAGCTGTGCCCAGCAGTGGGATGTGTTTTGGGTGGTTGTTGATAAATTGTGTTGATATTAAATTTATGTATTTAGTTATAGACATTTATAAATAGAAAAGTAAATGCTGTGCCGACCCCACCTAGCGTGGAATAAGGACAGGAAGAAGAAGAAGAAGAAGAGTTATAGACATTTATTTTTATTTATTTTTTTACACTTGTTAATATTCTAACCGGACTCTCTCATAGTGTGCGATATAACGTACATAATAATATGTTAATAAATGTCTTTTTATTCCAGACATATGTAGCTAATATCCTACTCGCCGTGAACCCCTACGAAGATATACCCGATATGTACTCATCGAGTACTATCAAGAAGTATCAAGGGAAGTCTTTGGGAGAGATGCCTCCACATGTATTTGCTGTTGGTAAGAAAGTAATAAAATTAATTAATGCTTGCTTATGACTTAAAATTACGTGAAAATTCCACAGCAACATCATTAAGCTTTTACGCTATAAATATTAGACAACAACATTACATAAGTTGATCTGATCCCAAGTACATGGGAATCGAAAACTACGACGGTAGTACTAACACCCAGGCCCGAGACAATATAGAAAAGTTTTCTACATTGACCCGGCCGTGGATTGAACCCGGAACCCCACGGCATGGAAACACAATGAAAACCGGTGTGTAAGCCACTCGACCACAGAGCGTCATTATTGAGTTATATTTAAATGTTTAGAAATTGCGTGATCATTTTTATGTTCGGATCCAGCACTTTTGGTATGAGCACAGTACTGCCGTTAGTGATGAAAGAGATTCAGGGTCGTATTCCAGAACTGTACTCAATGCTCAAGTCAGGATTTCAGCAGACTTGAGTATGATTTCAAGCACTGGAAATACGACCCTAATGGCAAGGACTTGAGTATGATTTTCAGTGCTCACTGCAATACTCAAGTCCTTACTTGAGCATTGAGTAGAGTTCTGGAATACGACCCTTAGTCTTTTAAGGCCTTTTAAAAAACCTCGACTAATGTTTTAACGCCTCACGACTTAGTCTAGTCTTTTAACCCTCATGTCTTGAGTCGTAAGACTAAAACTAAAGACTAATTCGAGTCGATGTCTTTTAAGCTTCCTAGGGTTGGAAGCTTGAAAGACTTATAGGACTAAAACGACTAAAACGACTGGCGCCTTATATATGGCGCCTCTTCGACTGTTTACACAGAGAAATATGTAGTAAGGAGATTCTTACTTACGAGTTTTCGACTTGTCTAAACACGATCTCGTATGACATTTCTTCAAGTTCATACGATTATCGTACAAATCGGTTCAAATCGTTTTGAGTGCGAGAATCGCCATTCGAGTTCAGTGATTACTGCGGTATTGACTATGGACATATCGAAATGACGCAAGAATCATTCAAATTTGGAACTGCTGATAATTTTAAGTTCATTGCATTGTAGAGAAATATATATTTTTTTTTTTTTCAAATTTTATAACATTTCTTAATCCAAATTTTTTTTCGTTCTCGTTTCATTCATTCTTGGCTTACAGTGATAATCAAAACACCTTCGCGCACTGCACTCGTGGTAGAAACGGCTGACACAGAAACTTGAAATACGAATTTTGCTTTCGAGTTCTGTTTACGAGTTCTGTTTACTATTTCACGATATTTATTTTTATTTATTTATTTATTAAACTTTATTGACCACAATACAAAGGGTACAAAAGGCGGACTTAATGCTAAAAGCATTCTCTACCAGTCAACCTCTGAGAAAAACGAAATTCACGAACGCGGTAAATAAACAGAATATTACGGTTATATTAAAATAAATGAAACAAATTCATAATTATATACAGGGTGTAACCGCAAGGTGTAGTCATATTAAAGGAGCCAAACCTATACTTGATCTAGACCCTCTGTGCAAAATATCAAATAAAAATAAGTGACTTTTAATGTTGATATAACTTTAATTATGTTTGTATAAATAGTGATTGTCCGAAACAACCACTGCGTCACAACTCTATTGCTAGTTACGTTACTACGACTTCACAAATTCATTAATGAAACCTGGGCGGCCGCAAGCGGGGCGAAAGAACAGCTGACTACAATTGAAATGCCACTGTAAAAACATGATTTGAATATGTTGATAACACGTTAATATTAAGTAACAAAATCTTTAAATACCTAGAAAAATCGAATTATTTCTAACAATATTATTTTATACCATACCTAGGTACGTACTTATTTACATACAGTTTAAAGGATATTTATTTACTTATTAAGCCCGTAGTTACGCACGCCTTCATCGTATACACATTCTACATAATTTTGTATTAATACATTTATTTACGACAATTTTACAATAGTGGATACTTTTTTAATTGGTACTTACCTACTGTGCAATTCATACACGTTTTAATGAATTTCCTACGAATTGTAATTCACTGTTGTACAATGTACGAAATATTGACTTGTTTACGATAATTTTGAATAATAAGTACAATCACTACACGCACTGCTGGCACATTTCACACATTTACAGGTAAGGTTCAAAATGCCGACCTCCATGCAATATGCATATTTCCGTGCGTCGGTACAGAGACTGCTCTACTCTTTGAAGCATCTGCCGAGTGATTTGACTAAATGCCATTTCGATCCGCTGCCTCATTTCTTCTGCGCTTTCACAGGACTCCGCATAAACAATATTTTTATATGACCCCACAAAAAAAATCGAGCGGTGTCAAGTCTGGGGACCACGCTGGCCAGGGTACAGGACCTCCCCGCCCAATCCACTGCGGGAGACGGTCGTTCAGATGGGAACGTACATTTCGAGCAAAATGTGCGGGTGCTCCATCGTGCTAGAAAGTCATCCCGTGTTCCATCACGAGTCTCACGTATTGTGTCACTGGCAGGGCCATCAGAACGTCACCCAAGTCTTCTGTTAGGAATCTTAAATAATTGGCCCCATTCAGACTTGCCGGCAAAAACACTGGACCGATGACGGCACAACCTATTATACCAGCCCACACGTTAATCCGCCACTGGTGTTGAAAATTTGATTCCCTTGATACGCGGGGATTCAAATGAGTCCAAAAATGTTCATTATGCATATTGATAATGCCCGCACGCGTAAATGACGCCTCGTCTGTCCACAGTACCGACGAAGCGAAGTCGGGAGACCTCCCAACCTGGTCGCGGTACCAGCGGCAAAATGCCAAACGTAGATCATAGTCCGCTTGTAACAGCTCCTGCGTTCTTTGAAAATGGTATGGGTGCTGGCCATCATCCCGTAGCACACGCCACACACTCATATGGTTCACACCACCAAAGGCTGCCGCAGCACGACGAGTACTTGTCTTTGGATTGCCGAGAAAATGTTCCAAAACATCTGCCTCGAATTCTGCGTCTCGTGAACTCGGCCGGCCTTCAGAACTGGAACCACGGAACGATCCACTATTATGAAGTCTCATAACCATCTTCCTGAAGCATTCCACAGCAGGAAATGGTCGACGTCGATTTTCTGGGACGCCATCAATAAACTTTGCCCAATAAATTTGGCGAGGCTGGCGCAAGCTCCCATCGGCTGCGCCTACGCACAACATCATCTCTTAGTAATCACTATTGCTTAAGCGTGACATAGTTTAAATAAACACAAAAACAAGACACAAACAAAACGATGACACCTATTTAATCCTCACAACGCAAACGGCAATTACAGACTGTTACAAAAAATTAAAAAATAGCACCTCTGCCTCAGCGGCGGCACATCAAAGGACGCCGACTGAAACGCAAATTTTGGAATATAGGGTAACGTTTTCATAATGTACCTACAGGGTGAAATTAAAATTATTACCATCCTTTTGAAATAAGACCCTTCTCCTGATACAAATTACATCATTACATACACATTAAACGAATACCTATATCCTACGTCTACGACCTTCAACGTTGCACTGCATACGCCTTTGTTTGTAAACAAGCTCTGACCATCACCCGTACCACTTCCACATAATGCAAGAACTGACTGAGTGATTACGGATATACTGCACTAAGGAGGCAGTCACCCATCGGAAACTCACGACGTCCGAAACGAAAGCCTAACACACTAACCACTACACCATGGAGGCAGTCGACTATAGGAATCAAATCCACGACCTCCGAAACGAAAGCCTAACACTCTAACCACTACACCATGGAGGCAGTCGACTATAGGAATCAAATCCACGACCTCCGAAAACAAAGCCTAACACTAACCACTACACCATGGAGGCAGTCGACTATGGGAATCAAATCCACAACCGCCGAAACGAAAGCCTAACACTCTAACCACTACACCATAGAGGCAGTCGACTATGGGAATCAAATCCACGACTTCCGAAAAGAAAGCCTAACGCTCTAACCACTAGACTATGGAGGCAGTCGACTATGGGAATCAAATCTACGACATCCGCAAAGAAAACCTAACACTCTAACAACTACCCCATAGAGCCAGTCAACTATGAGAATCGAATCCACGACCTCCGAAACGAGTCTAACATTAACCACTAATCCACATCACCATGTATAAAATCAAATGCTGGCGGCGAAAATCAAAGGTGATATTTTTGCCGCCAAAGTTGCCGCCAAAGGCTTGCGACTTCGCTACGATTACGTATCGCGTACGCAAGGCGACTAATCTTGATACTTTGTTTATTTAGGTAAGATTTTTTATGGTTTTACACTATTGCTAATTTAAACTATTCTAAAATATTTCTTTAGATGAGTAGATATTATTAGGAAGTAAGAACCTTAATAGGTTCAACGGATATTAATTATTTCAATTTCACCATGTAATAAACCCATACCCAGAAAGTTGTCGTGTGTAGATAAGTCAAATTAAGCGTAAGCCTGTTGTTAGAAACGTGCGCTCAGCAATAGACGTATGTAAGTTAGTAAAGTACTATTTTTTGCACAAGGTTCAGTCCACTGCACTTGCATAGTAAGTACTGGTTGGAAACTTGACATTCTCGCATCTTTGAAGATTTCGGCAATTATCTCCGAAATCCAAGTTTTCTCACGATATTTTCATTTCCAAGCAAGTGATGAAAATTTATTTTATTTTTATTTTTTATTTTTTATTTATGGCACAATGTACAGACATCAGATACAGAAAGTGAGGAAAATAAAAACACTTAAAAATTAATACAACAGGCATATCTGTGCCCAATTATTACTGTGCTCAACATTCATTTTAAAACATTTAGATATACTTAAACAGACACTAAATCAATCATAAAAAAAAAATTAAATTAAATTAAAATTACAATAATTAATTCGTGGTCAACGATCAAAACTAATTTCTTGACGTTTACCGACCTTCAGGTTGCACCTTTACGATGAAAGTGTCCCAATACAAAATTTCAACTTTTTGGGAATAAAAA